TGAATATAATATGAAATATCCAGCAAATGTGTAATTTAGTCAGGGGTCGTCAGTCTAGTCAATGATAGAAAAGGTTGGGAACCACTGCTCCAGTGCGATATGTAGTATGAAAGTCGTATACAGCAGCTTTAAGTCAACACATTAACACATTTAAATCCTTTATAATCTTCTTTATAATCTTTAAAAACACCACCATCATTATTAACTACAAACTGCAACACGGTCAAGTCTCAGGAGACATTTATTATTATTATTATTATTATTATTAATAATAATGAGAATAATTTAAGCAGAATTAATGTGGCTGATGGTCCGACCCAGAAACTACTAAAAGGAGAAGGAAGAAAGAGGATGAGGCTAATTAGCATTGGATGAAAGCCAATGGCAAATCCAAAATGTCACTCTGCTCTCACACACGAACGGAGGGCAGAGAGTCATTTCAGTGAGCAGATTTTCAGGGATTTCAGAGCCCGTTAGCAGCAAGCCAGAGACGAGGAAGATATGTTCACCGATCAAAAGGGGGCAAAGCTTTTGGGAGGAGGGAAGAGGGGGGGAGGCACCAAACAGATGCAGAGAGCAGACAGGGAGGTTACAACTGGACGTGGATGAAGTTGCCCACAAGATGTTTATTGAGGATGTGTTTGGCTCGACTTTGGTCTGAGCTGAGGGGGGGGGGGGTGCAAACTGAAGTCTGATTGGAACCTCAGGGCCAACTTCTATCCAGAGGGTTAACAAGACACAAAAGAACCACACTGATCAGCTCCAGATGCCAAAATACACCATATTCACCTGAGAAAGCAGATCCACCTGGAACACAATGCACAAAACGGCCATGGTCATCACATTCAACATGCTCTCACTCTCACTTCTGGGGAGTGGGGCTGAAACATTTCCCCTCTTGGCCTTTGTTGATACAGAACGTCAAATGGTGCAACTTAATCTGTTATCTGTGTAACAAGTGAGGCTGTTCTTCAGTCTTTTATTGTCTTACCGTTGAGCCCCCCCGCAGTGGGAGCAGCCGTGGTCTGTTTCTGTGCGTCATACGAGGGTCCGATGGTCCCCAGGTCCTACGACAGAGTAACAGCAACTGGAGTTATACTCCAGTACTTATGGGTCACGTGAATAACACCCACAGCTATCACTGTACATTGTCCCTTTATTTAGTTTACCCGCTGTTCATAATTACTTTGATTTCATCATGATTATTTAACACTTGCTAATTCCCATATGCAGGGATCAACAGAGGACTAGTCCAGCTATAAATGACCAGTGAACACAACAGGAAACGTTTTGGTTTACATGAGTGAAGCCCACAGTCTCTGAAAACCTCTGCTGTAGATAGTATAGTATATTCAAAGGAATATGAACCTAAAATAAAGCATTTTCTTCTTCAGACTTTGTATGATCCCTGTACGTTGTGTACAAACAAACCAGCCACCAACCAAATGCTGGTAAACTATGAAAGATACTGATAGATAATGACTTCCTATTGAGAGGCACAACAGCTCAGATGGTCAATACCTGGTCCAACAGGCCAAATTTGGGGTACTCCTCCTCAAGGTCTTTACTGCCAGGGTCGGGGTGTTCCTTCACCAGGAAAACATCTCGCTCTTTACTCTGGAAAAGAAGCACAAGAATAAAACTATTGCTCCATATCAACAGCTGAGGGCTGCAACAAACAAGCAGGACCGCGTCCCCCCACCGATAAACCACAGCATTACCATTGTCTTCACTATGTTGTTGGGCCAGGTGAGCTTCCCCGGCCTCTGACGAGTCGTCATGCACTCCCAGTACTTGTCGATGAACGGTATGATATCCTGCAGAGAGATGTTCACCGCACTCTAATTATACAGTTAACAGATGCATAATTCCACCTGCTGTGTCTCAAACAGCCACGGAGTCATTAAAATAACAACTAACAACTCATACAAACTCAAATTTAATATATCGGGCTGTAAAATCTGTATTTATAGGCATTCTGTTTCGTTTACTTTAGCCTGTACTATGACGTCTTGTAGGAAAACTGCTGATTAAACATTTTAATAATAGTAAAACTGCATAAATCTGTTCTTTAGACTCGTCACCTGCTGGCGTCAGTTTGTGACATTATCTTTACTGAAAGTCAAAAAGCTAAAGTTACAATAATAACAATAATAAATAAAACAACCTGCTACACAAAAGGTATTTATTCCAGCATCCTTTGCACTTCTGTCTTATGTACACACTAGTTCATGTTTAACATGTGGGGCTTGTTGTCCTGTTTATTTTGCTGTGTTTATGTCATATTGAGAGCAACATCCCTTGTATGTGCACACATACCTGGCCAAAAAAAGTGATTTTGATCTTATGCTCACCTTGTCTTTGGAGAACATTGTCTTTGGGTGCTCGTCTTGTGTTCTGGACCGCCATGTGAGGTTGGCCAGAGCTGTGAGACACATCTCCTTCAGGTCTAAAACACAAAGAGTAGCACCGGTTTGTGGAAGAAGAATAAAGCTTAAATCCACTGTTGTGGTCATTTTAGATTTATAAGACACCTACTTGCTTGTTTCCTGAGGAAGTATGTGTTGCCGCTGTGATGACACACGTTGCAGTGAAACACATAGTTAGTCATAAAGGGAAGACAGGTCCTGTAGAGAGGAGAAAGGTAAAAGACTGCATCATGAAAACGTACTATACGGTCACATAACCGCTGATACTTCAGTAGGGCTGCTCGATTATGGAAAAAATCATAATCACGATTATGTGGGTCAAAATTGAAATCACGATTATTCAAACGATTATTTTTTTAAACTTCAGA